GATGAAAGAACCAGCCTAATGAAATGTCACTGTTTTTATCAGTAGTTGAAAACCCTTGAAGTACAATATTTAACATCTGCTTCTATTTCTCTTATCTTTTGTTATATACGAAGTCTGCATTCAGTTTACAGTTTGTCTGTGTACACACTCCTTCCCATGAAATTCAATGCCAAACACTTTTTCCACAGCCGGAAGGAGAATATTACAAAATCCATAAACAACACAAGAGTATCTATATTTTAAGGTAGCACTTATTCCTTCGTGTAAGTTTGAAAAAGATTAGGACTCTGAATACTCTATTTCCTTTTATAGTGTGGCTATCATTCATCTCTACATATCAAACCGAGTATTAGCAATACAAAGATTTATTTTCCTCCACTGTTGATTTTTATTAAGAAAAAAACCTAAATCTCCCACTTCTAATTCTTAATAGTACTACAAAACTGAAAAAGTACACAAAGTACTGATTCCAAATTGTAGTCACTACTATAGGCTAAATTTCTCTAAAGGTACATAATCAAACACATACCAACTTCATTAAAATCTTCAAAGGTGATCTTGCCTGTCGCTTCTCGATCATAATCTTTAAGTATTTTCAGTACATCAGCTTTTTTCACATCAAAACCCAAGGCTCTCATTGCCACCTTTTGGGATAAAATGGAAGTGCAACCATATATGAAGATTAAAATACGGATTTAACAGATTTCTTTTTATTTTCAGTAATTACCCTATTGCCCAACAAATAAGGTGCATATTAGTGGTTTAGCAACAATATTAAATAAAACAAATAAAAGGAAAAAAGCTTTGCATGTAAAAATTGCCTAAAAATACTACTAGCAAATGGAACATCAAGTTACTGTGAAAAGCCAGCATTTGCATTTTCATGGACTTTACCAACTGGACCAAATGTTTCTTAGGTCAAGTAGATTTATTATTTTTTTTTTTAGCTCACTTCCAAAAACATTTCAAGTACTGACCCTTTTTCAAAGATAAAATCATTCTTCAAATTACTCTTCTTCAGTATTTATACTAAGCATCTTTGTGTTTACTTCTCCACGTTTACTTTTCCATTTGAAGTGGTCATTCTCAACACAAACCACCTTGATTTTCTCAAAATTGATAAACAGAATCAAACCAGAACTGGAAAACTATAAGCCATTAAAAAAAAAAAATCTATGTTAAATGCTGATTTTGTAGAGAAGGAGATAGTTCTGTTCTTTATATTTTCTGTTCTTCTATAGTATTATCTTCAGAAATATTTAATTAGACAGCTAAGAAAGAGTTTTGCAAATAATCATGACAGTTAGGAATTCAAAGCATTCCACAACTGGGAAATGCATATCAACAATCCCAAACAGTCCCAGTACCATCCCACTCACTGTGGCTTCCAGCAAAGACAAAATACCTGAACTCTGAAATAAAGAGAAGGGCGCTGCTATACCTAGGACAATCCTGTAAAAACAATTAAAGTAAAAATAAGGCTTTTTTTTCCCCCCTCTTTGAGTTGCTTCGTAGAGCCAGAATGTGGAGGCAGCAGCTTGGATTAGGTATTCCTTCCCAAAAGAATCTCACCCAATATGTGACAGAAACACTGGCCTCTCCAAAGCTGCTTTTTGCAGCATAGTGCAGTAAAACTATAATCAAATTCGTAAAAGATTTAAAGAGCCTTTAATAAACTCTACATACTTGTTCTAGAGACTTCTAGAATCCATGGGCTCCCTGGTGAAATGCACCAAGTAGGTAAACTCTGGTTTGTAGTCAGCAGTTTTACATGTTTGATTTCTACCTTTTACCTAAGAATCTGAAACCTGTGGATTTTCACAACACCAAGCTTCAGATTATACAGTGCCTTTAAAAAGGACCAAACAGCTTTTCAAGAGCTTTTCCTACTTAGTCATCTGTCCAAGCTAAACCCTGGGGAGCATTCAGACCAGTGTTATGCAGGATGCTACAGCAATTCTGTTACTGCATCAATCCAGTGCGCAAAGAAAAGCTCACTCTTGCACCAATGCAGTATTTTCTATTGTCTTTCCACCCCAAATACCCTCACTTCTTTAGCACAGCAAGAGATCTTGAACTTGGAGCATTCTTTAAAGGTGCAGCAAACATCTTTAAAACTCACTAAGAAACAGACACGTATTATCCGCCATAAAATTGTTTAAGTGGAAAAAAACCTTTTACCTTTAATTCATGATAATTTATTGCCCTATCTTTGTCTGTGTCGAACAACTCAAAGGCATCTTTGATTTCTTGCTTCTGTTCCTCACTCAGTTCTCTTCTCTTCTTCTTTTTAGTTTTGTCTACTGGAAGCTCATTCCTACGTAAGAAGAAAGAAATTAAGTGCAATTAATTTCTGCTGGGAAGATACCACTGCAGATAACATTTTCCACCAATAAGAAACTTGACATAATTGCACAGGTCCCATTCAGTATTTTCCTAGCTTGTCTTCCCAGTTTAAAGTAACACCTGAAATAGACAATTCCTTCCCGTGAAAGCTGACTGACACCTCCACTCCCCCACCCAAAATAAAATTAGCAGAGGTGTTTTGGTTAATAAATAATATCAACCGAAGGTAGAAAAACTACAAGTTAAAAAGAACTTACAAAAAAGTTACAAAAAAGGTTACAAAAAAGATTTGTGGTTGAAATGATACAACTCCTGAAAACACTTTATTTCTAAACTGTAGCTTAGAACTAAGAAAGAATTTTGAGACAGACAGGTTGCTGGAGGCTTAACTAGGCCAGACAACCGGGTGTCTGTCTACTAAAGCGGGTGTTAAGTGCACAAATCGGCTTTGTTGCCAGTAACAGTTCTTAGATAAATGGCATTTATGGAGTCTTTAAGCGTGCACACACACACATATGCTATTCTAAAGACTTTTTGCTCTGTTTCTGGTATATACAAAAGAAACAAGTCCCCCAAATCCGCCAGTCTTTCTCAGACAGCCCTCTTTTCCTTGGCTAGTCTAGAAATACGATTAAATTCTCAGATAACAGACAGAAAACACACAATTCACATACTGGGAACAACAGCTGAAAAAACCTAGAAAGGGTAGCAGTGATTGTTAGAACCCAGTCGTTTTCTCACACTGATAAAAGATACTTCAGAACCAAGCTAGGAAAGTGTAAATTTTGGCGTGAATAAAGCACAGCTACAGAGATGAGACTGCCTGCTGTATCCAGAGTAACTGCTTGGTAGATGTCCACTTCAGAGCAAGAACTTTTAAAAAAAAAGGAAAAAAAGAAAAGTACATTTGAGATAACAGGAGATATCAAGTAAGCCCGTTACAGCACTCAAGGTACAACTCTTGGTGTGAGTGTTAACGTGCTGGAACTGGTGCACTGGGAGACTGGGGAGTCCCCCCCATCATCAGAAATTTTTGGGACCCAACTGGAAAAGGTGCTCAGCAATCTCATTCAGTTTTAAGTGGGGCCTGCTCTGAGCAGAAGGGCGGACTAGATGACTTCCAGAAGTCCTAACTATTGTATAATTCAGATTATGCTCTCAGGAAAAGACTTTTTTACACTTATTTGCCTATTTGCTCCAGAGACAAAATGTGTACTGTGTCACCTACTGTGTAATGCATTAAAATTACTGATGAGCGAACAGAAACCTGCTTTTTAAGAATATTTATTTTCCAAATCTCCTGTAATGAGCTGCTTTTTCTTCTCCTTTGTTAAGGAATTTAATCAAAGATTAAACACACAGCTGGGAATTTAGCTTTCAACCACCACTGAAGCTACACCACTAAGAATTCCAAAAATAGACAAGAAAAGTCCAAGCACAAGCTGGACCCACCTCAGAGCACAATATTCTCCAAGAGTGAGAAGTTGTTAGCGGACCTGTTGGGACAGCATGATTTCAGGCAGGCTTTGGATTACTATAGCTTTTGGAAGGTCTAAAATAACTCTGAGCTGGCTGCATCATTAGGGCTGGGAGAGCAGCTCAGATCCAGGGAGCCCGTGTTTTGTGAGCTGCAATGATGAAATCCATTTAGCAGCCTGAAAGCAGATTAACGCCGAACTCTTCAGGAAGAAGGATCTGGCTACTCAAGTGTTTATTTAGTGATAAGCATAAAAGCATTTCATTTTTTTTTTTCAAAAGACAAAGCAGTACTTCAATGCGAGTAGTTCAGGGCCACTTCTTCTACAACCACTTTTACTGTATGAAGAAAAATGTTCTCAAGACTTGGAAATTAAGGGTCACACATGCCACATAAGCATACTAATTATGCCTGAAGACAAGGATTTGCCAGGTATGGACTTCCTAAGCCCCCTTTATAAAGCACTTACTGAATGTGAATTAAAAACAAAACAAAACAAAACCCGACAGCCTAACTTAACACGTATTAAAAAGCTTCTTGAAGGTGTTATTGCCTCAGACAACCCAGAAGCGAACCCCTCGGCGCCAAACACCGGGGGCCTTGCCCTCCCGGGGCGAACAGACGGCTGAGGGGCCTCATCCGCCCACAGGCCCCTCCACGGGGATCAGACAGAAGCGGCGGGACCCTGCGGCCGACCCTCACCGCCGACCACCACCCAGGCCCCGCCGCTGCCCGCCTCACCCCGCCTCCCGCCGCCACTTCCCCCCCATCAGGGGACAGTGGGGGCCTAAGGGGGGGGCGGCCAGCCCCCACCACCCGGGGCCTTAAAGGGGATAAGGGGGGAACCGCCCAGGTTATACCGACCTCAAAGCCAAGCTCATGCTGCCACCGTCCCCCGAACCGGGCCGCGGAGGGCCAGGCCAGGCCGGGCCCCACCGCACCGGACCAGGCCGCGCCGCCTGCGCCGCCACAGGGCCCCGCCGCGCTCCCTTCCCCTTGGAAACGCGGCACGACGCCGCCGCCCGCCAACCCGCGCCCTCCTCGCCACGCCGCCGCGGTCTGATTGGACGCTGAAGAGAATCTCCCCGCCTCCGAGAGGCGAAAGACTCGCTTATTGGATGGAAGGCTGCCGCTCAAGCCCAGAGGGGCGGGGTTTGCCGTGAGGGAAGTCCGTTACCCAGAATGCCGCGCGGCGCAGGTGGAGGTGAGGGGTGGTGACCGCGGCCATGGCGGTGGGTTTTTCGGTTTAGTTTTCCTTTCTCCTGGCGCGTCCCGTTCCTGGGGCGCCTCAGAGCCTGTGTGCCGCCTCTGCTCGTCTCTCTCTAGCCTGGGTGCGTTATGGCTGCGGCAGAACGGTTACCGCCTCCCCAGGCTCTGCCCGCTCCTGCCGGCCCTGTGTGGGACGGCGCCATCTTGAGTGTGACAGTGCGGCAGGCTGTGGGGGAGCCGTGTGAGGCGGCGGACGGGCCGGCCGGGGCCGGGGAGCGGGCACGGCGGCCGCTGTTTGCACACTTGGCTCTTTGGCAATGCGCAGGAGAAGCTTCCTTAGAGAAGTGGCCTCGCTCAGTTGAGAATTGATACTTGATGTTGCAGTTTCAGGATGGGGTCAGCTCAGGAACGTGGGGCCGAGCGAGATTCATAAGTGTGTCTACCGATATAATATTCAAAATACATGGAAACATTTTTATCACGCCTTTCTAGTATCATTTTGACTTTGCCTTCCTAAAAATTTGGGGAACAGGCTGCCCAGGGAGGTGGTGGAGTCACCATCCCTGGCTGTGTTTAAGGACCGTTTAGATGCAGTGCTGAGGGACATGGTGTAGGGGATGACTTTGTAGAGTAGGGTAGATGGTTGGACTCGATGATCCCAAGGGTCTCTTCCAACCTGAATGATTCTATGATTCTAAGACTGAAGGCCTTAATGCCTAGTTCCTGTTCTCATTGCCATTAATACTTAAGTGCTTTGCAAACCAGTGAATCAGTGAACATTACATATTCTTTGGGTGGGGGCAATACTTACCTTGCTGATAAAATACTTGGAAAGAACGCTGCCTTGGTGCTCTGTCCACAGCAGATGTTCCTTGTGCCTTGCCATTCGGGATACTCTGAGCAGACAAGGCCCTTTTATAACTAGTGCTGAAACTGCATAATCCAGTGTTACCAGGTGTATGTTCAAACTTTTCCCAATACCGTGCTAAGCAGTCTGGCTAAATTCACTGAAAAGACTCATGAAGAATGTCTTCAGGCATTTCAGTCTGGATGCCTTCAGGACTGACAGCCTGTCTTGAAGGTGTTTTACAGCTGCAGCCTGTAAATAGAGCTGCAGGCTCTATTACGTTTCCAGTAATAGACCAGGAGCAGGTTGAGCCTGGCTCTGCACTGTTGGATCTGAAGAGCTGGAATTGGTAGGTGTGCTCAAGACAAGATTTTCCTGAGCAAAGTCAAGCAGAGATGAGGCTTGTTTGGCTGGTAATGTGCTATAGGCAATCCTGCTTTGGCAGGGGAGTTGGACTAGATGATCTCTAGAAAGTCCCTTCCACCTCCAACGATTCCATGAAGTGAGCAGAGGCACTGTAAGATGTTTGTAATCGAACTCTGTTAACAGATGGCAGCTTTGTAACTAAAAGCATGAATTACTGGCAGGTTAGACCCTCAACCTGGGCTGTAGTGAGATTTTTTGATTAGAGGTATTTTTCATTTCAGTCCTTGCTGTTTGAGTATGTCTGCAATTAGATGCATTCATCTGAGTAATTGTATGTTTGCTTCCAAATCTGTTTTTTTCCCTGTCTGGAGCAGGGAGTTGAGTACAGATCCTGCAGATGGGTCTCAGAAGTTTGTGCTGGTAGCTCTGCAGTCCGTCCATGGTGGTCACATCGAGGTGGTAGGCACTGTATAATAAACAAACAAGCAAATATACCTGCAAATTAATGTTTTTGTGCTCTGTACAACATATTTATGTGGATGGAGAGAAGAGAAGAGCATGAACTGAGTGGTGAGAATGCTCACCTGGAGCGTGGGGATGGTAGGGTTGTGGTCCTGAGGGCACCAGCAGCCCCAAATTGCCCTGTCTCACCCAGGACTCACACCCACACCCCCTCTGCACGTTGGTGCTGGAGCTCAGCCCAGAGGCCCCTGATCTGTGCCTGAGCTGTCACAGACAGAGCTGCCTGCATGCTTATTGAGCAGACTTTGTGGCCTGGCCTTGAACCCGAGTCATCAGCTGGTGGTTGGTTGGCAGCCACTGAGCTGCTGGCAGGTCCGGTTATCATCACCTTCCCTGCACTCCATGGGGAGGTCACTAACCCTGCTTGTGTTGAGGTTGCCCTTGTCTTCCAGCTTGTCATCTCTTGTGGAGCACCCCTGTCCCTGCTGTTCCTGGCAGGTAGACTCAAATACGTGCTACCGACTCACCCTCTGGGTATGCTTCCAGGAACTGGAGATCCATGTTCAGGTCTCTATTTCTAAACTTAGCAGATCAGCTAGAAAATTGCCTTCTTGCATCCAAGGCCAAGGAGGTTGCCATGACTTTAATGAGAAGAAATGCGTGGCTGACTAAGCACTTCCCTCTAGCCTTTAGTTACCTAATGAACATACAGTTCTCCTTGTGTGTTTCCTACCATCTAGTAGAAGCTGGATGGCTGTGTGGATCCTGCTTCTAGGTGCTTACGTGCTTCACTGAGCAAGTTCTTGGCGTGCTGTGGCAAAAGCTCTGCTCCGGAAACCAAAATGCCAGTGTTTGTAAATTTAGTAAAGCTGGTAGCAGTGCTCACATTGCCCAGAAAATGGAGATGCCAGGAATTCAAAACTGAAAAGATAGGCTCAAAATATAACAGCTAAAAATAAATACTTGATTTTGGGTATGGTAGCTGTGACGTGGAAACCCTTACATTTTCAGAACTAGCAAAACCCCTTTTAAGATTAGCTCTTATGAGTAGAGTAGATGAACTAGAATATCACTGGCATGTTCCCCACACCTAGGTATTGCCAGCTTAATAAGGAAAATAACTGTTTATTTGTGGCCTGCACTTGAAGACTTTATTAGTGGCTGTATTTGCAGATTTTAATTAATTTCCAAATTCATATGTTGCTATAGGAAAGCTGTTTTGGGGGCTGTCTGGCAGCTGTATCTCCCCTTTGAGTGAATATGTTGCCTTTTCTATTCCTGATTTCATTAGTAGTTGAAACCACTGTACTGTTCCTTTGTCCCGAGCTGAATTTGAGGTTCCAGGAGATTACAAACCTCATCCTGGCTGTTCAAAATAAGATGAAATATCAGAATCTTCTGATGTAAAGCAACAAGCTGCTTTGTCAATTAAATTAGTCCGAGAATGTCTAAAGGAATAGTTTTGCTTGGGTAGATTTCATGCAAGTTGGGCTGTTCTTTGTTCCTGTCACTCTTACAGCAGATCATAAGGCACAAAAATGCATCACATGTCCTTGCCAGTTTGATGACAGGAGATGTTCTCCTGTGTTCATCTGGATCAAACTGGTACATCTGTTCCCAGCACCAGGCAGGAGCAGAACTGGTGGGATCATTCAGTCTTGGCTTTGCTGGCTTACATCCATCTGGATCTAGCTCTGCAACAGTCGCAGATGTGTTGGCCAGGAACCCTTCCTGAATCCTCCTCCCTGTGTCAGGGCTCTTTTGCTTGTTTGTTTGCCCCTTGCTTTCCAGTGTTAATTGCCTTGTGACCTTCCTGGGACACTGTTGGCCATATATGGGAAAACACAAAAAATCAGTTATCACAAGTGTAGTGATAGGATGAGGGGTAATGGTTTTAAACTGAAAGAGTGGAGATTTAGATTAGATATTAGAAGAAATTAATTGCTTTGAGGGTGGTGAGAGCCTGGCCCAGGCTGCCCAGAGAAGCTGTGGCTGCCCCATCCCTGGAGGGGTTCAAGGCCAGGTTGGAGGGGGCTTGGAGCAACCTGGTCTGGTGGGAGGTGTCCCTGCCCAGGGCAGGGGGGTTGGAACTAGATGATTTTCAAGGTGGCTTCCAACCTAAACCATTCTATGATTCTATGATTAAATTGGTGAGATTGGCCTGTCCAATAAAAGCTGAATAGTTGGAGGAACCATGTTTTTGGGTGGCACAGAAAAAAGCCAAGAGCAGGCTTTTAACAACGTGGGTTTCTTCTTTAATCTGTAATTATTACCCGATGAAGCCTATTATTTTATTTTCATGGTAAATTTAGATGGTTTTTTTTTTCCTTTGCAGAGAGATGTAGTTCCTGGTGGCAGCTTCCTGTGTGTTCCTCAGCAGCTCTTCAAGCAGGAAGATCGTCATGGCTTTTACTGTAGGAATATATAGGAGATGGGCAGAGAAAGGGTATTCTGCCTGTACGTACTCTGTGGAAGCATTAAGTGACTTGAAGGTATAATTACACAAAGCAACACAGCAGTAATGTGTAAGCTACTAGTAAAGTGATTTATCATCACACTGGAGATATTTGGGCTAATTGTGCACCTCGGAGGACTAGCTTGCTTTCTGATTAGCCTGCATATCCCTGTGCTGTACCAGTGCGTGCAGTGTAAATATAACCTCACTTGTTTCTGCCAGCAAGACCCCTATGTAGTATTTAGCTTCAAATAATGTGAAACGTAAAATAAAACCTAACAGGTGTTTTCAGATTGCTTTTCCATCATGTCTGTTCCTGTTCTTCCTAATTCAATTTGGAAGCGAGTGGGCTGAAAAAAAAAAATCATTATGGATGAAATCTGGTTGAATTTTTAGACCGTTCAGTTTCTGCTTAATGATTTCAGTAATACATGTATTAATTAAAAATAATAACTTGAAGCATTGTTGGTTGAATTCTTGGACCTAAATTTTAGAAGTTAAACATTCATAATTCTTCTTTTGCCATATATTTTTTCCACCCTTACCTCCCTCTCTCTTTCCTAACAGATCTCCATTTCTAGTTTTCTTCTGCTACAGATGTCTGCTTGTAAAAGGCAGGGTGTTTGTTACACTAGGCTTTAACATCCTTTGTTCTAAAGCTTATCCTGAGCTCTGCTATATAGCATCCTACAGTCTAAGACAGTAAGGATGCTTTTCTTTTTTTCTGTCTGTGAGAATGTTCTTTTTAGTGGCAACATATTCATTTCATAGTCACATGATGGCAAATAGAGGTGTTCACTGGTGTAAAAATAAAGTGAGATGCTGTTGTACTGGAGTAATTGAAATGACTGTTTCATGTCCATGTGTATTAGAAACATGATTATGAAGACCCCTTACTGCAGAGCAGAATTTGGAGATTACAAGGGACCAGAAATATGAATGTGAATCAGCAATATGATGTATTAGGAAGGGTGCAAACATGTAAGGCAAGGATGAGCTGCTTCTGTTCTGCTTGGTGCTGGCAAAGCTTCAGTGGCGTACAGTTTTGCAGAACATAGTTTAGAAGAGGAATAAAGAAACTGGAAAGATTTTGAGGGAAAAAACGTGTTAAATTTTTTCTTATATGTCAGGCTTTTAAACTTATGTTAGCTGATCAGTAACATTTTTCTGCTATGTAAAAAGATTGACACTGCGTCAAAGAGTAACAGCTTAGTCTGTAGAAAAGGGTGACTTGGACTCAATGTGAAGAGAAAGGTCTGAGTTGACCATTAAACAGTAAGGTGTTGTGGAATGACATTTATGACCTCCTGTGAGCCACAGGGCTGCCCTCCCTCTGTTGGGTTTCTTATCTTGGGCTCCAGACCCAGTGCTCTAGACAGTGTATTTCAGATAACGTGAAGGAAAAGAGGCAATTTCTCAAAATGGGGAAGAAGAAGGGTGGAAGAATTCAGGGGGAGGCAAAGATAGAAGTCTGGGTATGAGTGAGGAAGCAGCAGCGGGGGATGTGGGATGAGGGAAAAAGTTGGTAGCAGGCCAGAAACATGGGGCAGTTGAAGGACCAGAAAGTGAAAAAGTGATGGAAAACAGGAAGAAGTGGGAGCAGGCAGACTTGGCAACATCTAGTTTTATGGAACCATTTCACTTCTCTGCATGAAGGTGATGCTAGGTGACCTCAAGATGGTCTTTCTTTGCCTTCTAATTTTAAAAATATCTAGAAATTATGACTGGACTTCACAGGATTATAACGTTTTTGGTTTTTTTTATTATGGTTATCTGTGGTTTTTTTTAATGTCTAAACTGTTAACATCACAAATATCTTGACAAATTACATATCAAAACATTCTCATTTGATTTTTTTGTTAATTCCCCAGTCTACCAAAAACTGCATTAACATATATTTAAATTTTACAAATAAATAAACACAGTTCTAGATCCCCAAGATGTTGCAATATGTAAACTCACAATGTATGCTTTAAATATTTAATCCAAGCAGTGTTAAAGGGACACTGTCATTCTCTTATGACTAAAACTTGGTAATTCTTAACAAAAATAGTCAGGGCCTGTTGTTTATACTTAAGACATATAACTTACCTAGTAGTGAATTTCTTAAAATACAAAAATATTTCAAGACCCTTAAAAACTACTTTCAATTAGATTATAGCAGCAGTTCACTAACACATCCCATTTTGGGCTATGTTCATGTAAAGCTCACTTCTGAGCTAGGAAATTATTCCCTAGATTTTGGTCAAGGAAGAAAAAAAACAGGCAATTGCTGTTATCTACATGTATTTTATGGACTGAAGCATGGTTTAACAGGGCATTTTGACAGTGATATGGACATTTAAGGATCTTGCAGCTGAGCACAGATTTAAAAACAAGTGATGGGAGAATATCTTTCATTTTGAATAGGCATTCCTGTGAGCCTTCTCTTAGGAGCTCAGGTTTTATTATATAACAAAATCTGGTTACAGGACTTCTAATATTGGATCAAAAAGCAAACCAATAGCGGTATAACACAAACTGCTAATTCAACGTGATCTCACTCCTCTAATAAACATTTCCAAAATTTTAGTGACTGGTGTACCTTTTGGCAGGCTTTGTGACAGAAGAGGTCTCTCTGTCCGTGTGGCTGCACGGGGTTATCACCAGTGCTCCTAGAGCCTTCACAAAAGCACAGAGCAGGATTACTGCTGGTATTACACCACAGATGGCTAATTTGAAGGAATTCAATTACTGTGGGGCTATCTGTGATACTAGGGCTACATCCAGGTAACTGCTGTAAGCTTCAGTGCTAGGTATTTCTTCAGCCATTCTGACTTTCCCACTTGCCACCTAATGTCTGTGATTGCTCATTGTGAACCCTTGGCTATCAAGAACAGCGTTTGGACTGCTAGGTAAACAGCAGCAAATGTCAGCAGGCTGAAAAGGAAATCTGCACTGTGGAGTTTGTTCTGGGCCTCTTCTACTAAACAGATCTTTTGCTTCCTGGGCCAGCCTTCTGTACATCTTTGCTGACCAGCAGGGTATTACATCCCATCTCCATCATGGGATAAAAGCTGAGGGATCAAAGGGGTCAGCTTCTTTCTTCAGTGGCTGATGTTTGAGGAGGACTCTGTCCATTCTTCTGCCTTTGCTCTCATCCGTGTGTTCCTGAATCCAGTTCCCATCTGCTGCTGAGTCCAAGCTGGGATTTTCCCAGTGCCTGCTGGTGATGTGATCATCATCCTGGGAGCTAGATATTGGTTTTGTATATATTTGTATATATTTCATTATTTTCTTATATTTTTATATTTACTGTTTTCTTATTATTATAAATATTTTTATCTTTTCTTTTTATTGACAATATTTCATTAAAGCTGTTTTAGGTATTTTTCCCAACCCATAAGTCTCTCTTATTTTCCCTTCCCTTCTGGGAAGGGAGAGGGACACTGCTGTTTGTTTGTTGGCCACCCCAGCCTAAACCTTGACAGATTAACTCGCACCCACCGTGGGGCACGACCAGGGCTCTGACAAATTGTTTGAATTCCAGCTTGCTCAGTTGAGAGGATATCGCATTTTTCCCTTCAAGAGTCTTGAGGTGTTGGAAATCAGACAGCTCACATCATGTCGTTCTTGGTGAGGTATTACATCAAGTCCTAACACAGTTTTGTTTAAATTTAGTTGATGAGACGCTGCCTAACCTGCTGGTTGTGCTGTGTTAATGTTCATTTGTTTCTTTGTGTTTATTTTTGGTGGTTTGTTCCTGAGCGCTGGGCGAAACGTGACAATTGCGGTTTATTCTGGGATAAGCTGGGCAGCAACTTTGCCTGCACGCCTTGGGCACTGCCTAATGGATTTTGTTACTAACTACACTTTCAGTTTTACCTTGGGAAGAGTAACTTCTCCCTTCTGTGCCAAGCTGACTCGACTAGAGTTTAGGGATTTTGGAAATGATTGTTTGTATCAAAACATCATTTTATTATCGATTCTCCTGCATGTGTTAGAGCGGTGTTTCATATTAAATTTTGGTGCAGGAGTAGGTGCTGCATGATGTGCCAGCTGTCCATGAAGTGACTAACAGAGTATGATAGCAGCAAAAGAATCTCTCTTGTCCCTTCACTGTTGTGGCTGCAGAGAAAATAACTGTGAAAATGACTAAGAAATCCAAGAAATTATTTGAAAAACTGTTTGATAAACTGTCCAGGATGGAGACAAGATCCCACTTGTCCCCTGCATGGACCCACGTTTGCAGCTGTCAGAAAAACCCTCCTATGAGACCACCTCAAGAGAGACAAACATGCCACGAGGTACCCTGTGGTTTCACCTCCACCAGCACAGGGAGGACACGAGGAAGTGGGATGGAAAATCTAGCACTGCCTTATAGGCATGAATATGCGAGCTGCAAAGTAAAACAAATACGAGTTTTTCCAGGAGGATGGCTGCTCCGATCAATGGTGAGCGGTTCTCTGGTGCAAGAACAAACCCATTTAGCTACAAAAGCCAAGTGAAGCCATCTGTTAATTGTGGGTACTATGCTGAGTATCCGAGGGGCCCTGCCTCCAGCCAGAAGGAGGAGGGGGACAACCAAGTTTATTGGACACCTTATTGCCATTCAGTCACAGAGGGGAAGAATCCATCGCTGTTTGTCCAGTGTCAAGGGGGGATCTCAAGAACTGACTGTACTGGAGGATGAGCAAAACCTAACTGGGAATAAATAGGAGAAGCACCCCATTGTGACTAGCCTAGAGAAGGCTAACAGTAACCTATTGTGGCCTGAACAAAGTCACACCACTGCTAAGCACTGCTGTAACAGACATCCTAGTCTCAACTAGCCACAACTGACATCGCTAATGCCTTTTTCTCTATTCCTTTAGCAGCAGAGTGCAGGCCACAGATTACTTTCACCTGGAGAGACATCCAGTGCACCTGGAAGTGACTGCCCCAGGGGTGGAAACATGGCCCTGCTATTTGCCATGGACTGATCCAGGCTGCACTGGAGAAGGCTGGAGCTCTGGAGCACCCACAATACATTGACAACATCCACTGTGTGGGGTAACACAGCAGAACAAGTTTTTAAGAAAGGTAAGGAAATAATTATATGGGAAGGGAGAGGGACACTCTGTTAATGGCCAGCCCAGCCTAAACCATGACATCTGTGGAAGAAGGAAAGTATTGCATAAGATATTCTCTTGCATAATTTTTAGACAGAGATGTTTTTTTTTTTTATTTTGCAACTGTTTTTTTCACCAGTTTTTATACCTATTGAGGAGAATTCCACTCCCCCATGCTTTAGGCAGAGCCCAAACTTTGGGTTCCCTTCCTGACAGGTATGATAAGAGGGCAACAAAAGGCTTCCCTCCAAAGTGAAAGCCAAACAAATAAGGTTAAACTCCACTAAAATTTGGGAAAAACATTTGCCCTCTTTTTAGGAAAGTATATATGTCTATATACAAAAATATTAAGACAGTGTCCTTTTAAAAAAGTTAAGTATATACAGACTGTTATAATAATTACACACACACTAACCATTTCAACAGCTTTTAAACATCACACAGTCAATTTTCATAAGCAAGTCACAATGTCGTTTAGCGTTTCTCAACATATTCAACTTTTTTTGTAACAGAGTCAAATGCAACACACTTTACTTTTCATAAAAAACATACGCATCAAGCATCTCATAAGCACACAGTGAACAGCCCAAGTTACATTCACTTTGTGATAATTACTGTACTGGCTGTTTAATCCAGCAGCTGCAGTAGGGCAAGGTAATACTAAAGCCTCCATCTTTCCCTTACCACAGAGCACTAACAACCAAGTTACAATCCAGTCACAGAGAAATACTCTTTAAACACAAATAAAACCTTCAGGCTTGTCACAGCCCAGTTCTCTCAGATTTACAGAATGTACTCTGTAAATAAAAGTTTCTTTTATGACCTCTTCAGAAAAAAACCAAACACATCAAGCTAAGGCTCAATCCCCTTTGTATGGACTAGTCTAACATAGTAATTCATTAGTTTACACATTTCTAATCCTAATTTGCACGCCTATAAGCAGAATCATTCCCTAGCTGACGGTGAGAATGCTCTTTCTTGCTCCTCTGTCACAGTGCAGGTGTCCCCTGCACCCCACTGAGAAGCACAAAAAGCCTCAACAGTCCGTCTGCTGTTGGATCTGCATCAAGAACTTTTTGGGTAAGCTGATATATCTATACCTTCCAGCTTGGAAGTTTGGTCTATAGCATTTCCATATGTTAGTGGATTCTAAAGGAACTCCCAGACAGCTACTTGGCAAAGACACAGGGGATGATGATGGGTGCAGAAGACACTGAGTGGCAGGTGGACAACGGTGACATTCTGCCCGCTGAGTCCTGTGTAGGTGTTGCTCTTGCTTTGACCTAACGGTGGCAGACCCAGCACACAGCAGGTCTCACCACGAGCTGTCTTAGGGTTTTAGGCAAAAACCCGAGCAGGAGTTGAGTGAATGGTCGCAAACCTAGTGCTACATCAACAAGGTTTCAGGCATGAATGTAAAACCTCTCATTTTGGCATATATGCATCTGTCGGAACCATAACAAAAAAAAACCCAACCTATTTCAATCACAATACATGTGCAAACATGCCCTGAAAAAATAGAAAGAAAAACGGTAGCTTTGGCTAGCTTGCACACTTTTTATAAAAATAGAAATACAGTAGGCAAAATAGGGGGAATTTTTGCAGCTCATCGGTATCAATTTGCCAGCTCTTTACTAATGCATACTGCTTCTATCAACCCTTTCACAAGCCATTTGGGTTTTCAGCGGGGAATAGATGGCACAAAAGGCAGTCACGAGGAGGTGACTCTGGAATTGGTAATGCGAAGTGCTATGCTTGCAAGGGATCTCATGGCACAGGTGGAAACCTTGTGACAAACCCCAGCTTGCGCGATGTAGTTGGAAGCTAAGCGATACAGCCTTTCTGCCCCAAAGATGTTGAAGTGGCCCGGCAGTACCTTCTCCACGAGGCCTCTGTCCACCAACTCCATGAGGCGCTGGCAGCTGGCGACGTAGTCACTCACTCTGCTGTAGGGAAGCCAGTCAATCATGGACCCGTCGTACACCACGTCTCCGCTGAACAAAATCTTCCGGTCTTTGTCGTGTAAGCAAATACTGCCCCTTGAGTGACCAGGCATGTGCATGACGGTAAGCTGTCGGTCTCCAAGGCTGATCACATCCCCTGCAAACAAACGTGTTACAGGAAACCACACATTATTTATCCTGTATATTGAACACCAGAAAAAGATTACAACTGTGGGAAATAAGCTAAGTTTTGCTTCAGCTAATTGATGTATCATTGTTAGTGTGATAGTACTAACAAAGAAGCCTTAGTAATAGTAGAGTCTAATAAATTGTATCCAATCAATCCCCAGAAATGCCCTTGGTCTGTCAAGGGATCCTTGTTCACAGAGCGTTATCTAGGGGAAGAGAAACAAACTGGAACATGGCCTTCAACACAAAAACCCAAAGGGTAGGGGATTATCAATAAGGCCAAAGAAACCAGTCTGGTAAATCTGCCAAGTAGATGGAAGCAAAGACTCTGAAATAACGTGTAGCATCATCAACTAATCAAAGGCGTGTTTAGGATAATGATTTCGTAGAATAGGTGTATGTGTGCCTTATATGGGAAAAAGTGCAAAATAAACCTGTAATAGGTCAAGCGGTCGGGAAGAATGTGAGCTCCAACTTCTCAGCCAATGAGAAGGGAGACAGAAACTCAAGCGGCCGGGATAAAGGTATAAAATACCTGAAAGCTAAAAGATCATCGTGCATCTATTTTTGGTGCACCCGATTCAGCGCTGTTTCGTATTAATAAATTATTATTTTTTTAACCTTTGCTTCGGTGACTTTGTCCTCTTTAAATTCTAAGATGTGAGTCGGTGTTTCTCACACAACCTACCCATAGGCTGAGAGATTGTACATACTATATATCCACAACACTTTTCTTGCTGAGCGCCGAAGAGGCGCCTGAAAGATACACTTGACATTCGTGTATTTTCCAGTTTTAGTTAACATAAGCTTGGGCTGTATTAATTGCGTCTATTCCCACCCTTAATAAACTAAACGATGTGAAAAGAAAGGCGTTAGAGAAAATAAAACAGGAAACAAACAGGACACATACAATCCAGGTCTCCTGCAAAGCTAAGTACTTCACAATTAACTGCAATTTTAGCTCCACTTAATTTGTCTAGAATTCCACTGTTGTTACTTTTGAAAGGCAAAACTGTTAAGAGATACTAGTTGTTTAGCTTAAATAATAAATTTTAATTAGAATAAAGTACTTGGGGTTTTAATACGGTGTGACTTATGCTGTTTGCTTAGCTTTACTTAGCATGGGTAACGAGATTTGCTGAAGCCGTTACGCTGCAACAGAGTTAATTTTCTTAGTAATTTTCCTAGCAGGTGCTACAGTGCTGTGTTTAGTCTTTTAGCATAAGAAAAATGTGGGTAACACAGTGATGTTTTGGTAGCGTTTTCCTAACTGTGTGGCTTTTCAGGTCCCGAGGTTCTGCCTGCAAGCGCAGGTGCAGGAGAAGCATAGCCCAGAAGATAAGGAGGTGACAATCGTTAGCAGAGGCTCAAAATCAACAATGTAGGAACAGTCAATGACCAGCCTGCCTGGACACAAAAAGAACCCAAGAAGGTGTTAGAAGACCCCGGAGCAAAAACCACCATTGGACTAAAAGATGAATCAACAGGATGTGAGAGGCGGATGCAGAGACTGCAAGGGTGTAATGCCCAGGGATTTCTTTCTTTGAGGTCCCTCCCTTTTCGGAGGCACCCAGCCCCGGCTGACCTTGCTGCTGTGCCTTTCAATTAAGTTACTTGTTTTTATAAAATCTGACGCCTGAGGCTCTGCTGCGGGAAACCTGCAAAAAGAGGAGCCTGAAAAAAGAGGGAGTGTGCCCCAGAGTGCGTGTGTACTTGTAAGGAGCGAGAAGGGGCACTCGTTGGTTCCTGAGGGTCACCTGCTGCAAAGGGACCCTTGTCCTGGCAGTGACAGACACCCAGTGGTGTGTGCAACCCCTTCAATGTCTGTGAATATTCGGGCAGTGACTTCTCCTTTAACAACACGACACAACATAAATTGCTGGAGGAGAACCAGGACTGGCCTCCAGATGCTTTCTTCGTCTCATTCAAGCAGATATATAAAAATAGAACTTTCTTAACATAAAGTCTTTTTTTTTTTTTTTTTTTTGCCGTCTTAAACGTGAATGCCTTTTCATTGTGCTAGTCACTGAACTGGTACTTTCAGCTGAAAGTCACTCTAGGGATGGAGAACAGGCCAAGTCACTTTGCTGTTAATTTTAAATTGTAATGCCAGCTAATTAAAAATGTGAAAACCCCATTAATTTACAGGTGGCAAATAAGTAAACTATAGGACTGTGTAGGGAAGAAAGACCTACAAGCAATCTCCTCAGAAGCAGCTGCTTAACAACTGCGTGAAGCAGTTCTAAAATAAGTAACATCCAGTACCATCACAAAACAATGCTTAAAACCGTAATATGCATTTCCAGTTCCAAGGAGAAAAAGAAAAGGTTACCAAAACTCTACTGTATAAGAAATCAGAAAGCTACTGATCTGTATAACACCAGAGACATGCCACTAATTTACTCAAGACTCAGCAAACCTAAAGGCACTTAACTCTAAACTTAAAACTACTGTCTGACTGTGCTGTGCTCAACCGGGGAAAGGACTCCTATGTTTGCAAAAGCAGCTAGCTCCAAAATAATCAAGAGAGAATTTTTAGCAATATTCTCTTTCAGGGAAATGTCATGAAGGCTTGTTAGGAGAAAGGAATAGACATGACCTAATAGAGAAGACTGTGCAGAAAATGCCTGTATTGGTGAATGAAACAACAGTGGAGGTGACGTTACTGGTGGGTTTCAAACTGCTCCTGGCACTGAAAAAAAAGTACAAAGAAACAGAATGTGGCATGCAAAATTTAAAGAGGAAATGTGCAGAATTAAAGCAAAAAAAGGTCTGGGTCAGCTGAAGGAAACTATGTGTCTTAGAAGATACAAGTGACTAGGAAAACAGTAAATGGTAAGGCACAAGACAGGTAAATGCAATTTTAACTACTACAGCTGAAATGAAAAGTGCTTGGAAGGTCTGGTAAGATTAAGGTTATGCAAAAACTCAATGAACGAAGCAGGCAATGTGCACACAGGAGCTGCAGCTTTGGACTGAAAGAGAATATCACCCTTCGCACACTCTGTATTTCCAGCATTACTGGAAAACCTCACCCCACAGCAGTGACACACACCGAGATGCCATGCCACTTCCACACAGCATGTCTCAGTGGACGTTATCTTAGAAACTCTGATGTCGCATGCTTGTTCTTTTACAATTTTTTATATTTTTTTTTATAATTCCCCCCTCTTTTAAAGAAAAAAGAAAAACAACTTAAAGTTCTCTTGATTTCCTGTAGTTAAATGTCGCTTCAGATGTTGATGGGGCTTTGAGCAACCTGGTCTGGTGGGAGGTGTCCCTGCCCATGGCAGGGGGGTTGGAGCTGGATGATTTAAGGTCCCTTCCGACTCACACCATTCTATGATTTTATGATTTTAATTAATTAATCTTCTCTGAAGCCTTCAGTCAATTCAGTTCAGTTCTGTGTTTCCAAGCACATATGTGGGATGTCCTAATAGAGCCAAGAGACTTAGCTCCCCTGCAAGAGGTGTCTCCTGCCTGTCAGACAGCTGCCCTTTAACTTTTGCTTCGCTGTATTGTACAGTTGGGTTGTTTGCTGCCAAAATAACCCAGTCATTGCTGCCTGTGAGAGACTAGATGGATTTTATCTGCAACAAGGCACTTCTGTAAATGTTGTATGTGTGTCAATTCTGGAAACCGAAATCCATCTTCTTCACACTACGCATTTCATTAAGTTGCTTTGCTCTTTACGCCACTATGCCTTGACAGTTTATGAATCAGAGAATCATAGAATGGTTTGGGTTGGAAGGGACCTTGAAGACCATGCAGTCCCACCCCCTGCCCTGGGCAGGGACACCTCCCACCACACCAGCTTGCTCCAAGCCCCCTCCAACCTGGCATTGAGGGGTTCAAGGGATGGGATTCTCCAGGGATGGGGCATCCACAGCTTCTCTGGGCAGCCTGGGCCAGGGTCCCTAAAGACGATTTAGCTGCAATCCCCCCTGCCGTGGGCAGGGACATCCAAAATAATGAAGGGTGACCAGATGCCAAGAACCGACCGCCGTACTGTTAGAAGCCTGGGGCTAACCCCGGGGTGCTCAATTAGTCGCTCACTTTTTAATTAGAATCATAGAATCATAGAATGGTTTGGGTTGGAAGGGACCTCCAAGATCATTGAGTTCCAACCCCCCTGCCCTGGGCAGGGACACCTCCCACCAGACCAGGTTGCTCAAGGCCCCATCCAGCCTGGCCTTGAACCCCTCCAGGGATGGGGCAGCCACAGCTTCCCTGGGCAACCTCTTCCAGTGTCTCACCACCCTCATAGTAAAAAATTTCTTCCAGAGATCTAATCTGAATCTTTTTTCTTCCAATGTAAAACCGTTTCCCCTTGTCCTATCACTACACTTCCTGGCAAAGAGTCCCTCCCCAGCTCTTCTATAGGCACCCTTCAGGTATTGAAAGGCTGCTACAAGGTCTCCCTGGAGCCTTCTCTTCTCCAGGCTGAACAATCCCAGCTCCCTCAGCCTGTCTTCATAGGAGAGGTGCTCCATCCCTCTGATCATCCCTCTGATCATCCCTCTGATCTAATTGCTGTGATTCTCCCAAAATAAAAACCCTGCGTGAACAGGGGGGGGGGGGGGGGGGGGGGGGGGGGTTAAGCACCGTTTCTCGGCTCCCGAGCGCTGGAAAGGTTTTTTTTTACCCTCTTTCCCGCCCCACTCACCCTCCTGCAGCAGGCGGGTGGGCCGGACCGGGGGGACGCGGAACTGCCGGGCCCGCCAGCCGGGCCGGGGCGGCCGCGCCACCTCCCGCTCCCACAGCCAGGTGACGGCCTCGTAGTTGTCTCCGCGCAGCAGGGCCGCCGCCTCGGCGCTGTGCACCGCCACCTCCTCGAAGTGCTGCAGCCCTCCCGAGTGGTCGAAGTGAACGTGGGTGGCCACGGCCAGCAGCGGCCGCGGAGAGGGCCCTTCGGCCGGCGGTAGGAGGCCGGCGGCCCGCAGGTATTCGGGGAGGCTGCGCAGCCCCAGCCCAGCGTCGATCACCACGTCCCGCTGCGAGCCCCGCACCAGCCAGATGTTGGCCCGGTTGCCCGATTCGTAGAAGCGCTCTTGGATCCAGAAGATGCCGTCGCCCAGCGCCTTGTGGGCGAACCACTCCAGCGCCGACATGGCCCCGCCGCCGCTCTCAACCGCCGGGAGA